GCCAGTCCGTGCTTTCCCCCTGGGGACGCTGCGTCTGGCACCCCTAGCCTCACCCTGCAGGGGCACCACTGAGTTTGGCTGCCCCAGTTTCCCCGTCGGCCCCCAGGGGCCCAGCCACCCTTGGGGAAATGGAGCACAGGAAAACCAGAGCACAGGGCAATGACGAGTGGAAGACCCCATCCCTGCCCCACCCCTCCCGGTGCCCAGCTGCCCAGCTCCCTGGATGACCTGGGCCCCACCCAGGCCAAGGGGCATTCCTGTTCCACGCGGTACTGACATGCAACACGAAGCCCCCACCATCTCCCATGACCTGCTCTCCCGTCCTCTCCGAGCCCTGCTCTCTCCTCTGCTTGGGCGGGCTGTGGGATTCATACAAAATTAACTGGAGGTTCCGTTTCACAATACTCTGCAGTATCCGGTTCCCACCCCACCCCTGCTGCTGCCCCGTCTTTGTTCACCTTCTCCCCTCGCCGAGAAACATGCCATGTGGCGAACACCCGGCAGGGACCTGTCTGCATGGCCCTGACAGCCCGAGGAGCGGGTATCAGGAAGTGAGGGGCCAGGGCCGTGTGTGCCGTGGCTCAGGGCAGTGCCACGCTGGGCTCAGGAACTGGAGCCAACTGTTCATGGGTGACAGAGGGTGTCCTGTGTCCATCCCAGGCCTTCAGCCTCCGTCCCATGCAGGCAGGGTCCCAGGGCATCCCTGCCTGTTCCTTTCCCTCCCTTCCTTCTCTCCCCGAAGGAAAGAGCCCCTAGGCATCGTACCAGGTGCTGGGGACAATGGAGAATGACACAGGGCCCCTGCCCCCAGGCTCCCGGACCACCCAACACTAGTCACCCATCTCCACTTTCTCTGACAGCACATCAACTCTTCCCTGGGCACCATCACCATCTTATTGCCTAATGTTTTCACGGGCGTGGGGTCCACACACGTTGTTTTGTAAAAGAAGCACTCGGGTATAATGACAATGATAACGAACATCCCTTGGTAAGTGTCTCAGGTCTGCCTTGCGCTGTGGCTTATCGAATTTAATCCTCACACCATCCCCACGAGGGGGTCCCGTTACCATCCTCATTTCACAGATAGGTTGACTGAGGATCAGAGGTTCAGTTGAACTCTCCCCATGTCCCTTGAAGAGAAACCCACTCAGGACTGGAACCCAGGTCTCGGGGACTCTACCATCCCGGGCTGCAAGGGTGTGGAAGGACAGGGAAGAGCAGAGGCCGGAAGGGAAGGGCACGAATCAGAGTGGAACAGAAGCAGCAGTGGACGAGGAAAGGCCACAGAGCTCAGAGGCGGCAGAGCTGCCCGCGGCCTCACAGGGAGCCAGGTTTACCCAACAGGTGTCACCTAAGTTGGGCCTCCAGATGGGACTTCCACACCGGAGGGAGAGTCCCCCGCTGTGGGGGAGAGCCAGGCCCACGCCCCCCACAGGCAGTAGGCGGTGCCCTGGGTGGGAGTTGATTCCTCCTGGCCTCAGACCCCATTTATCACTTGCAGAGATCTTTTTGCCTAAAATTAGCTGGACATAGATGGGAAGGCTAATTATGCGTGGCCTGGAGCAAGTCCTGCAGCGTGACTCAGAGGCCAGCTCCCTGCTCACGTCAGCAGATCAGGGGTGGGGGGTGCTGGGAATGGCCGACCCCAGTCCCGGTCTGGAGCCAGCACAGCACGGGCCACGCGGCTTTCAAACTGCGGGTGGGCTGGGGCCAGGCATCTCTCTAAGGGGGCCGAATAGGGCAGGACAAATGCCGAACATGAGAGAGAGGCAGGACGTGTCCCGGTGGCCCCGTCCTGCTCAGGCCCGTCTGTGGACGTGCTCGGCTCTGAGCCGGAGACAGGCAGCTGTGGTGTCGCCTGGGGCTGTGCTGAGAGCCTGCTCGGACACAAACAGCGGTGGTGACCCTCAGCCCTCATACTCTTCCTCTGCAAAGGGGGATAACAGGAACACATGTAAGAAGGGTGCATAACTGCCCCCCACACGTGCTGCAGATGTGCAGACATCGGCCGACGACCTGGGAGAGTCGCATTCCGCCCTTTCTGGAGAAGGCGCTCATCACGAAAACAACAGCAAGAATTGACATCTATTGAGCACCTAAGTACTGGGCACTTGGCCTAATCTTACTCAACGTTCACAACCGCTTTACAGTTGAGGAAATGGAGGTGGGCCGTCTCTGGGGCTGGCTCCCTCACGCAGGGCCGCCTGCGCGTAGGCGCCGTCCTGCTCCACTCTGCCCTCGCCGCAGCCTGTGAGGGAGTCGCTGTTGCTCCCCCGTCTCCAGATGAGGAAATGGAGGTGCAGAGAGGCTGGGAGTCCCATGGCTGGTACACGGCAGAGCCGGGACTGGACCCAGCTCACGGGTCTCGGTCTGTATGCTTGTGCTCTTCTGCCCTCCCAGCACCCTGGGAGAGCCTTCTAGAGCCCAGTGAGGCAGGAGCTCCAGCAGACCCTACGATGGGCTTTCCTCCTTCTCGGAGATCTTTCCCATCAGAGATCTCACTTGGTCCTCATGAAAAATTTGGAAACCAATGCCCAGAGAGGTCAGACAAAAGGCCCAAAGCCACATAGCCGGCAGGCAGCAGGGCAACAGAGCTGTCATTATTCTTTCCATTTTATAGATGAGAAAACTGAGTCCTTGATTTGCCACATAAAGCCCAACTTCTTGCAGCATACTGGTATTCTGTGGAATTTCCTCTAGGAAACACTGCTCTAGCCCATGCTACATGCTTTTCGTTCTCTTTCCTCTATAGCCAAGTCCAAACGACTCCTCCTCCAGGAAGCCTTCCCAGACTTTCACTGCCCACCTACCTTACCACTCCTGAGAGTCCCAGGGCCCTTACTGCACTCAGTCTCCATTATCTGCCGTTTGGGCTGCTCAGGTGTCTGAGAACTGCTCCCTATGGGCTGGGACTCAGTGGCCAGGCACCAATTTGGCACTAGATGTGCGGGTAGAGCAGGCAGGGTTCCCGCCCTCAGATACCCAACGCTCCCCCAGCAGTACAGAGTGGGGGACCCGCAGAGCCACCAGGCAATGGCCCTACACAGAGCTGAAGCTTGGTTGTGTGCTGCTCAGTCCCCCAGGGTCTGGAGAACCTTTCCTGTGCAAGAGGAGGGTGGGTTTCTTAACCCGAGGGCCATGGCCTGGCTTCAGGGGGTTCCGGAAATGCAGCGATAGTATGAGCCACGTCTGTTGCTTGCGACTGCCTATTTTTCTGGGGAGAGGGGCCACAGCTTCCACCAGGTTCTCCTCTGGGACCAGGGCCCAGAGGCATTTAAGAATTCCTGACTCAATGGCATCTCCAGGTCCCCATCCAAAAGGCAAAGGCCCCTCGGGCACCCTGCCCCCCAGCAGGCTGGTAAGCCAACCTGAAGGTGGGGGGGAGCATGGACCATTAACCAGGGGTAGGTGACCACATGGGGCTGGGGCCAGAAGTCCCCAAGCAGAGCTGACACCCATCTTAGGGCACGTGTGGCCGTTTCCAAGCCCTGAGCAGGAATCACACTGGGAAGGAAGGTTGCCTCCTCTAGTCCCACCCTCCCCACCGAAATCAAACAAGAGCGCCGAGAGAAAGGCGTTTCTTGACGTCCCGGGCTCAGTCCGCAGGCCGAATGTCAGCAAGAGTAGTTATGTGGAAAGAAGAACCAGGCTTAGCTTTTCCTCCTGACCCAGGAGAGCAGACGAAGAGGGACACAGACACCTGGGAGACAGTGGGGTGGAGGCACGTGTGACCCCGTGGGCCCCAGCAGCCTCTGCAGGAAGCGCATTCAGGACCAGAGTCCTGCAGCGCCTGGGCACAGGGATGGGACGTGTGCGGATGACAGTCCAGACTCCGCCTGACTCCCAGGGTGTGGTCTACACCTGCAGAAGGGACTGTCCAGCCACTTCTCCTTAGATAGTCAAGCCTGCCACTTATTGAGCACCTACTGTATGCCCAGGTGTGCACTAGGTACTGTCAGGTAGGCACTGGGCCATTTTCCACGGGAAGAAACTGAGGCTCGGTGCAGCCTCTGCAGAAAGTTGCAGGTTACGGGAGTGTCAGGGCACAGCCTCACCCCCATGCCGTGCCATTGGCCTTATGGAGGGAACTCCTCCGCCTCACGGCGAGGGGAAGGTACATTGGGGCGGTAACCGAACTCTGAGCTCTGGAGGCCAAGCTGGGCTGGCTTTCCTTCTCGCTGACTCGTGGCAGATGACCTAGCTTTGGGCCCCTCCAGAAAAGCCCCCAAGAGCTGAAACCCTCTCTCTCCAGAGATCCCAGGCCCACTGATTTTGGCAGTTGCAAGAAAGCCCCTCTCTCATGCCCAGGGCAGGACACCCTAGGGCATCTGTCACCCTTCCCATCACGGCCCGTCTTCCTGCCTAGTCTGCCAAGCAGCCCCCGAGCCCCAGCGATCCCCAACCAGAGCCTGGATTTGGGAGAGGCAGACACGATTCCAGCCCAGCTGCGGGGGACAGGCAGTGCTAAGGCTCCATGCTCAAGCCCACTTAAGGGAGTTTCTGGGGTCTGGAAAGAGGGAGGATGGGGCCTGGGTGGCTAGAACCCCTAATCCAGCCACCGTGGGCTAAGTGTGGACAGCAGGAGCCCTCCTGGGCCTGGGTGCAGGCCAGCAAGGTGCGGCTCCCTGCTGGTCTCACCCTGTGGCCCTCCTGCCCCAGCCTCAGAGATCAGATGCCTCCCAGGTTCCTGGGACGCTGAACTTGCCCCCTGCGGCGGGGCTGACCGGGCATGCTGTGTCCAGAACACAGCCCTGACCTGGCTCTCCTCCCGCCACTCTCCTGCAGGTGCCTTGGGTTAGGCCCCGGCCCCCGACGAGGTCCCGTGCCCTGCCCTGTCCAACCGGCTGACACTCGGCCCGCACGCGTTAGAACGGCCGTTCTGGCACTTCAGCCCTTGTCTGGGACAGCCCTGCTGTTAAATATTGTGAACAGGGCCACCGGGGCCGACTCAGATAGTGGCTGCTGGGGCTGGGCCCTGGGTTCGAGCCTCTTGCACCTACCTTCCACAGGCGAGGTTCTGAGGCGCCGGCAGATGGCTTCGGTGTCCCCATAAGTCTCTTTGATCTTGACCACAGCTTCCGTGCCCCGCAGCTCCATGAGGGAGCGGAGCTCCTCCATCGTGCACCCGAACTCGCCCCCATGGCTCGACTCATTTCTTTGGTTTTTGGAGTAAAAGTCGCTGTTTGTCATGTCACCCATGTCTGCTGCAGTCCCTGCTCGGAATGGGCCCGAGGGTCAGCGCTGGACAAGAGGCTGCCAGGTGACAGTTGCTGTGGCTGTCCTGGGCACACCCTCGCTGGATAGCTGTGGCTCCTGGTGGCCGACTCCGGGTCCCGGCGACAGCGGTGGTGAGCTCCAGGGGGTGTCCCTGGGCGTGGGGTGAGGTCCAGGGGCCAGGGGGGCTCAGGGATGTAGACCCAGGAGTCTCCATTCAGTGGGGCCCATGCTGCTCCCTGGAGCTGGCATCTACATGGTCAGGGGCAGTGGCTCCTGTGGGGACAAGCACAGAGTGGGTGACAAGGGTCAGGCGCTGGCAGCCTCATGGGGCAGGTGCTCAGGGAGGCCTTAAGTGCGTGCACGCGTGTGCACACACACACACAGAGCATACCAAGTAACACTGCCTACACACGTACCCTGGCATGGGAGTTTCCTACAACCCCCAACACACCAGCACACGCGGTAAATCGGATGGCGCCAGCACCCACCGGGCACCCCGCAATATGCCCCCGAAGGCACAGCTCCACAGCCCACCCCAGCCGCCAGCTGTCTACCATGTCATGTAACACCTGACTTCACAGCACACACCGCGGTGTGCACACGCCCTCAGGCGCCTGCGACCCCCAACTGGCACACCCTCAGGCCTGCCTCACTGCCACGCACAGGCACCGACACGTGGGCCCACTTCACACCACTCTGATGGACACGCCCCACCCCCCGCATTGTCACCGCTGGTCATACTCTAAGCATGAAACTAACATCCCCCTCTTCCCTCAAAGACACCTGTGCTCATGCTCCGAGCACACCCAGACCCCGCTTCCCTGATTCTCTCACCGTCTTCAGCATGTTTACGTGTGACCCAAGCCCACACAATCAGGGACATCTGCCCCCCTGAGTTCACAGCCCCTGAGCCCCCCCATACAAGCCACTTACACCCACCCATACACCTCTTCTCCCACACTCCCTCCTGCTCTCACAGGCATGGGGATGGGCGCAAGGTCCCTGCCTTCACCCGCAGCCCCCAGCCGTGTTAATCAAGGCCCTCAGCCCCCAAGAGAAAACAGCTCTCGCACACCCAGGAGGACGTCGCTGAGCCCAGAGCTTTGTCCCTAGCATGAGCACTGGCCGGCAGAGCCCTCACCTGCAGCCTGATAGACCAGCACCATGGACAGCGGCCGACCCTCCCTCTCTGGAGCCCAGGAGGAGGAGGGAGCTCCAGCTTCCCCCTGCCCGCCCGGCCACCCTTGCAGAAGTGCGGCATCTGTGGGGCTGCCAGGAGAGAATCCAATCTGCCCAGACACCCAACACCGGAGGCCGAGGCCCTGGCAAGCGTTGGGTGACAAAGGGCCCCTGCTGAGCTCGGCTGGGCCTGGCACAGGGACAGCTGGCCATCCCAGACCCAGGGCAGTGAGGGGGAAGGAGATGGGGGCAGCGGCACGGAGGCCCCTGGCCTGGCCTGTCTCCTTCGCAATCCTTTTGTCATTAGCGCTGGAGGCACTTTAGGGTTAACTTTATTTTCCCACGGAGGCACTGGAAGCTCAGAGAGGGAAAGGCACTCGTCCAGAGCTGCGGAGCAGAGCAAGAGAGAGGAAGTGCAGAGAGGGGTGGTCTCCTGGCCCCCAGCCTGGGCTCTTTTCCCTACCCCTAGGGGACGCCCGCCCTCCTCTCTGAGACCCCAGGCCGGTGGGTGGACAGGGCCACGTGCAGCGCTTAACAGCACAGGGTCTGGAAGGAGAGTGGTTTGGGCTCAAATCCGAGCTCTCCAAAATCCTGGCTATGGGACCCTGGGCAAGTTCCTGCATCTGTGAAATGGGAACAATAACAGCCGCTCTCCCCTACCCACTCCCCTGTGCCCCAGCCACCTCTCTATTTACTGGGAACTAATTATAAACCATGTTCGAATCTGGTGTGTTTCCACCTGGTATGGGGCTTCCCGGTCGTGGGTCAGGGGTGCTGGAGCCACAAGAGAAACCTGTCATGCCTTACAGAAGGGACACTTTTACCCAAGGGTGCAGCGGGAAGCATTAGTTTTACACTGGGACCAATAGGTGCCTTGTGGAGTAGAATATAACACGGATATGACGCCTCAAGAGAGGGGAGATGCCAAAGAAACTGTGCGCTCGGTGCCACACTCCAATACCACGAGAGTGCTCCCGCTCCTTGGCCACGGACAGATCACACACCATCCACAGAACCCGTGAGTTTTGACCCCAACGGTGTATTCCTGGTAGGAGCAGTTGAGTCAGGGACCAAGAATGTCTGTATGAACAACAGTGCTCCCCTGACCATTTCTTGAGCATCTACTATGTATCAGGCCCTGTGCTAAGACTTCTGTGGAGTATCATCCATCCGAGGGAAATTCTAGGAGGTGGGGGTTTGCTATGTTTTCTGTGCTGCTCTGACTAGAAAAGTGCCCGGCTCCTAGTAGGTGCCTAATAAATAAGTGTTGAATGAATAAATGAACAAATAAAAAGCGAATATGATATCTCGCTGAGTCCCTACAACCCTGTGAGGTGGGTACTATAATTAAACCCATTCTACCAACAGAGAGAATGACGTTCAGAGGGTTTGTGACGTCACTGGCCCAAGGTCACACAGCGGGAAGTGTCAGGACGTGGAAGACCCTTTCAACCTTAGATCTTGGACTCTTGTCCTCCACCATGTACGAAAGGGCTGTCCAGGGCCTGGTCTAGGGTGCTGAACCTCTCCAGGGAGAGTGCTGGCATTTGGGATTAGGGCCAAGTACTCCACTTGCCCTGCTAGAAGCCAGTGCAACTCCTCAGCATGGCCCCCTGGCCAGGCCGGGACTGGCTGCAGGAGGCAGGGGCCCTCCAGCACACGTGGGCTGCTGCACGAGGCCCGGTGCAGGGAGGCAGCAGGGGCTTTTGTGCTCAGCAGTGCCCTTCCCACTGCCTGCTCCGTGCACGGGCTTTGGGTAAGTTCAGGAAACCGGGCAGAGAAAACATAAGTGGCTGGAGTAAGCTAAGGACAGTGAGGCACCCAGGGGCATAGTCTTGAGGGGGGAAGGAAGGAAATGAGGCCGGGGCTCCTTCAGACCACTGTGATGGCTTGGGGCCTTGTCAGTGGTTGCGGCTTCGAGGAGAGACGGGTCTGAGATGCCCAGGGAAGGTGGACCCCAGCTGGAGGGGCAAGGGCTGAGGAGGTGATCTGACTAGGAACCTTCCAGAACAGGTATTGCTTTCTCAGGAACAAGAGCTGAGATGAGGAGATGCAGACTTTCTATCTAGAAGGAATTCGGAACTGACGTGGGGCTGCAGGAGGTCTCAGTCCTTGGCAGTGAAGCAACAGGTGTGGGCCAGGTGAAGGCACAGCCAGGTGAGCACTTACGACCCCTGAACCTGCCTAAACTTGCTGGTGCAGCAGGAAGATTGTCTTGCGACCCTGAGCAAGTCACCTGGCTTCTCTTGGCCGTGGTTCCAGCATCTGGGATTTGGGGACACTGTTACATGGTAACACTGCATTACTGGCACACGGTAGGCATTTATTGAGCACTTACTAGGTTCCGGGCCCTCCAAGTGCTTTACAGGAGCATCCGTCTCAGAGATGTGGCAAGGGGGAAGAGCAGGGGGCTCTGGAACTTCTGGGCTCAAATTCTGGCTCCTTCACCTCCCAGCAAACAGGGATGGGAAGCAAATGGTTTCATTATCTTAACAAAAACGGGAAGGGAATAATACTATTATCTCATAGGTGTTATGAGGCTTAAATGAGTTATTTCATGTAAAATACATAGAACCAAGCCCAGCACATGGTAAGCACTCAGTAATTATTTTGATTATTATTGTCAATCCATACAACTACTTTGCAAGACAGGTAGTCTTATTACCCCCATAGAACATATGAGGAAACTGAGGCCAAGAGAGGCAGCGTAAATTGCCCAGGGTCATATGGCTCGTGAGCAGTGGAGCTGGGACTTGAACTCAGGCAGTCTGGGCCCAGACACATTCTTAATCAGGATGCTTTGCTGCCTCCCCTGGTGAACCTCCCTCATGAGATTCTTGCAATGCTTAAACGAAGTGCCATCTGTGAATGGAAATGCTTTGCAAACCACGAGGGGCTTTCTGAACCTGAGGTGTTGTTTTCTGTCTGTCCCCTTGCTACCTGTGGCGTGGCTTACAGGCACTGATAATTACAGCTCTGATGGTGCAAGCGAGGAGAATCGTTAGCAGCAATTACATCTGTGATCACAAGAGCAGGCATGAGTTAATGGGCTGCTGTCGATTTTAATGACTGCTGTGTTAAGATGAACAATAATCTTCAACTACCTATCCACCCACCCAGCCATCCACTGTCCATCTGCCCATCTGTCCATCCATCCATCCATCCACCCATTGTTCATCTGCCCATCCGTCCACCCATCCATCCATCCATCCATTCTCCATCTGCCCTTCCATCCATCCATTCATCTGTCCATCTGTCCATCCCTCTATCCATCCATCCATTGTCCACCCATTCATCCATCCGTCCATTCACCTACCCACCCATCCGTTCGGTGATTGTGTTCTGGGCACCTACTCCATGCCAGGCACTGAACAATCTGGACATGGTCCTTTCCCTCCATGAGCCCACCGTGAGGAAGCCAGACAATTAAATCAGTGACTTCCAAGATTCGACGAGTTTGCCATGATGAAGGGTCCCAGAACGGGAAGACCTGACCTGGCCTAGGTAGCAGAAAAGACCTTTCCTCTCAGCCTCGAGTAGAGAGTTTTTTTCCTGTGGGTAAAGCAGGACTCAAGCCAAAAGATGAACCAGAAGAAACTGAAATACTGAAATATGTAACTGTTTGTTAGTAAAAGGCACAGGAGGGGATGAGTGTGAGCAAGTATGGAAGGATCCAACTCTGGGATAACAAAGTCGGTTAAAAATCAGAACTCTGCCCTGAAGGGGACTGATGTCACAGTTCCTCTCTACTTCTCCTGGTGGGGCTTGCTCCTCCACCTTCAGTTTGTGGGCTCATGCACAAGGTCATCCTGTCCTGGGCATCTCGGTTCTTCCTTCTAAGCTGTGGGGCTCACTGTGGTACCGCCTC